TGATTTGAAGGTACGGGGGTGTAGAAGGGCCCCGCACCACCCCCCTCCCGCGCTCGTTCCGACCGCACCGCCTCCCCCGCGGGCGTAAGCCCCGTGAATGACCGTTCACGGGATTTGGGCCCGGTGACCGGCCGGTCACGGGTTGGTGACCGGTGCCGGTCACGTTCACGGGGCAGGCACTGCTGCCGGAACCTAGGCGAGGTTCTGGAGGCAGGGAACCATCAGGTAATCCATCTCTATCTGTATAACCCACTACACCCATGTTTGCATATCCCTCTGTAGTTTGATTGGTGTATGCATGCCTGTCCCTATAATTTTTGCTTTCTCTTCAGGACATAACCAGACTAAGTAAAGGAACGCATGTATAATGTCAGTTTCAGCTTCCTTGCCTGATTGAAAGCAGATTGTGGGGTTGTATGTGGGGGAAGGGTGGGAGAAAGCCTATATTGCATGAAGTTTGACCGGGTCAACCAAAGGTTGGGCCAGTTCCATAAGTTTGGAAAGGCTTAGTGCCATGTTTTATTTCTGGATTGCCTGGAGAACCAGACATGTTCCATAAGTTTGGGTGGTCTGGCTGCTCTGACTTGTGAGGGCTGACTGTGGTTGACTTTTCAGGGGCCAAGCATGTTCCATAAGTTTGGGTGGCTTGGTCGCCTTGTTTACTTAGGGTTTTGCCAGTTTCTTTCGTTCCTGAACGAGGAGGTCTGAGCATGTTCCATAAGTTTGGGTGACTCAGCCTCTTCCTGCTTTGGCTTTAAGAGAAAATAACCAAGCTAAGGACCAAGAAATGTTCCATAAGTTTGGGTGGTCTTGGTCCAACGCCTCGCACATGTTGGAACCTGAAGGTTATAACTTGGTTGTACTCTATTATTATATTATCTATGAACAGGCTAGTCAGACAGGGTTCCATAAGTTTGGGTGGTATGACTATAGCATATCACCAACTGAAGAGAGTATTAATTAAGAATAAACTTGTGGTACGAAGGGGCAGGCTGAGTCTTGAGCTGAAGTTGATCGGCTCAGTTATATGCTACCTCAAAAGACTAAGTGCAGACAATTATATAAATTTTGGATACTTAAACAGTTCAGGGCGACTAGGGTGGCCTAGTCATGTGCCCAAAGAAGAGAAAAATTGTTGTGCCCTATGTTTGTGTATACTTCATGGCTGGGCTAGACATGTTCCATAAGTTTGGGTGGTCTAGCCTTATGCCCTATGCAAGTTGGGTATAAGGGGATAAATCATTGAAAGACTGTGAACTATTGTTTGCTAAGCTGACTTGGGGATGGTGAGAGCACTTACCTTTGTAGTTTGGCCTGCTTGTGACTGAGTGATGCTGCTATTTAGTCTAAGTTTTAGTTGGTAGGTAGTTGCTTTAGTTGCTTGCCACGTGCTAGAGTCATAAGAGTTAGTTTCAATTCTTGCATTTTCTGAGTTAAGTTTATTTTTCTTAGATCAATTTCTGTATTTTCTGGGATATTTTATTTATACTTGGTCTTGTATAAATCTTGGTAAGTCACTTTCTCTACGGGAAGCGTTGCCGAAATTTCTACAAAACCAAGGAGTTAGTCCAAACTTCGTCTTCTTCAGGATTCCGTCTTGTTGGTTTTTTGACTTAGTAAGAATCTGGGAAGCCTTTTTTTCTAAAGGAAGTGCTGCCCAAATTTTTACTAACTCAAGGAGTTAGACAAAATTGGGCCTTGAAGAGTGAAAGTCATTTCAGATTATAAACGTAGCTTTATATAAATCTTGGAATAGCACTTTCTCTATAGGAAGCGCTGTCGAAATTTCTACAAATCTAAGGAGTTAGCTAAATTTTGTCTTAACAGAATTCATATTTTATGTTTGAGTTCATATCTGACTTAGTACAAATCTGGAAAGTCTCCCTTTCTAAAGGAAGTGCTACCCGAATTTTTGCTAATTCAGAGAGTTAGAAAAATTTTAACTTTCTAGAATCTCAAAAGTTTGATTTTTTGGCTAGTATAAATTCTGCGATGACACTTTTCCTACGGGAAGCACTGCCAAAACTTTCTTAACTTAGAGGAGTTAGATTATATTTTGACAGGTGGCGATTTCTGGAGATCCACTCTGTGTAGGGGAGATTATGTCAGGGTCTACCCTTGCTTTGGACACTGCTTAGCGATAGATTCGAGCTTAGTTGAATAGGGTGATTTGAGTGAGATCGTGATATGGAGATTATTTTCCATGAACTTATAGACTTAGCTTGAGGGTTGACCTGTCTTGTGTTACAGGTCTTCTTGAACGAGTCGATTCAGGATTTGGGTTAGATTCAGCTTGATCCTACGAGGATCACCTTCTGTTATCATTCATAAGAGGTCGGTTGCCGATTCGTCGGTTTACGGCTCAATTTCAATTCACCCTCAATACTCAACCTAAAAAGGCTTTAGCCCTGGTGATTTTTATTGTTTTGTTAAGGTTTCACCCAGACTTTTATTGAATGGTCATTTAACAAAGGTACTGAGTATTTAATTATGGTTGGTTGAACAGGAGGTCGGGGCTTGCATGACTAAAGCGAGGAGTATGAGTACAGAGAGTGGTTGGGGTTGACTCCGTATAGTATGTGGACTTTGTTTGATTCTTTGATGTGATTGCATGTATGTTCTGTGGTTCGAATTTTGGATTTGACTGCCTGCGATCACACATATACATATGGTTGTGAGGAGCCCCACTGTGACTGTGAGAAGTGATCGTCACATACTTATCCCCCTTGCATATATATATATATATATATATATATATATATATATACGTGTACCTATGTTGGAAGTTCGCATGGCCCAAGGGGCCCGCATATTAAGGGCTAAATAGGGGTTAAGGTTGAGGAAAGGCTGAAAAGACCCCTCCACTGGATTGCATGCTTTTTAATGATTTCTTAGCCGGACGATGGTCCTGGGCTGGGATTCAAGGTCCTTGTCGGGGACATCCCAACCCCTAAGCTCTACATAGAAGGGATTCTCACCCGCGCAGATCCTATTTGCCTCGCCTGCCGAGACACTCAAGCCAAAGGCCGGAGATCTCGCGGCGGACGCACGACTATTCCTTCAGTCGTGCAATATGATCGTGAGGGATTAGACCATCACGATACTTCGAGTTGGACACTGGAGTGTCATAAGCAGTACTCGGATCCACGAGGGACCGCTTGATTATGGGCACTACATAGTACGTCATCACTGCGACTGCTTGCGCACGCTTGCATTGTGAGTCAATATGAGAAAGCCCTGCGTCAGTGCGGGTTTATACTAAGTCTTGCACGTGACGCCTATCCGATTCCGCATCGGAAAGTTATGGGATGGCTATCGAGGGACTAGGAGCACTGTCGCGTTGTTTGTATTGTGTCGTTTAGTGCGTATGTTGTGTGTGTGTTATACTTTTATGTTCGTCATAGTGGTGTGCGCGTGGCGTGTGGGATATGTCATAGTCGATCGGCGACGAGTCGCGCTTGGGACCTCAGCCCCCCAAGATGTCGGTTCGCGTGCGGGTCCGATAGAGGTGTAATACCGCTGGTACCCCCTATGCTACAGCGAACGAGAAACACCCTTGGCTGGTCCACCTCTGCGACTGCAACTGATCAGCTTTCGTATTGTGGACTGGTAGCTCGGCAGGGATACGCCCACCGAAGGGAGGTGACAACTCCCGTAAGGTGGAGGTAAGTCGTGCCTCGCGTAGGCCCTATCCTGTCGTAGGGGCTCGTGAGAGGAATGGCTGGCGCACTCGGCCAGAGCGGCTTGCGGAAGCTCCATATATGTATCGCGACGAGGACTAAGATCCAACTCCTGCGTGACGCGGC